ACAGAACAGCTCAAAAAAGAAAAAAAAAAAGAAAGAAAATAAGTGCCCTTATAATTGGTGCTCTTATCTGTAAAAATATCTAAAAACATCATTTTATAGCTAAGCACCAGATTCCACGATCTTGAGTTCTTGTTACTGAGAAAGAGGGAAAGACTGGATATTGAGTAGAGTAGACAATCAACAGTGCTTCCCGTAAAATGTCATCTGGCCGGGCACAGTGGCTCACGTCTATAATCCTGGTACTTTGGGAGGGCGAGGCAGGAGGATCGCTTGAGCCTAGGAATTCAAGACCAGTCTGGGTAACATGGCAAAATCCCGTCTCTACAAAAAATACAAAAATTAGCTGGACATGGTGGTGCATGTCTGTGGTCCCAGCTACTAAGGAGTCTGAGGCAGGAGAATCACCTGAGCCTGGGAAGTCAAGACTGCAGTGAGCCATGATCACTGTACTCCAGCCTGGGTGACAGAGGGAACCCCTGTCCAAAAAAAAAAAAAAAAAAATCCTAGCCTTATTTTCTGACTGGTTCAGATAACCGGGAATTTATGTATATTGCAAAGACCTTTTGCTTTGGAAAAGTGCTGTTCAGTTGTTACAACTATGTTTTAGACACATGTGGAACACCTGTTTTATTCACTCCCTTTCTCCGTTTCAAGCCACACACTACCCAGTACATTAGTATCAGATGCCAGCTCAAGCTCACATGGGTGTTGCTACCATGAGCAGAATTCCACTTCTACAAAGTACATACTGTGCATACTCAACTCTGTAGCTGTGAGGTTTTAGAAATATCAGTCAAGATCATATTATCAATTTTTGCCAATCAGTTGCACCCGAGAGCACAAGATGCACTAGGCAGGGGTAAAATGAAGCTGACTGACTGCCCAGGGTGGCTTGCCTCCAGTTTCCTTCCTTCCTTCCTTCCTTCCTTCCTTCCTTCCTTCTTTCCTTCCTTCCTTCCTTCCTTCCTTCCTTCCTTCTTCCTTCCTTCCTTCCTTCCTTCTTCCTTCCTTCCTTCCTTCCTTCCTTCCTTCCTTCCTTCCTTTCTCCCTTCCTTCCTTCCTTCCTTCCTTCCTTCCTTCCTTCCTTCCTTCCTTCCTTCCTTCCTTCCTTCCTTCCTTCCTTCCTTCCTTCTTTCTCTTTTGGTGACAGTCTTGGTCTGTTGGGCAGGCTGGAGTGCAATGGGGCCATCTTGACTCACTGCAACCTCTACTTTCCTGGTTCAAGCAATTCTCCTGCCTCAGCCTCCCAAGTAGCTGGAATTACAAGCACCTGCCACCACACGTGGTTAAATTTTTTTTTTGTATTTTTTGTAGAGACGGGGCTTCACCATGTTGGCTAAGGCTGGTCTCAAACTCCTGACCTCGTGGTCCACCTGCCTCAGCCTCCCAAAGTGCTAGGATTACAGGCATGAGCCACCATGCCTGGTCTATGGCTCCTATATTATGTGCAACCGTTAGCTTTTTTTTTAACAATCTTCAAGGAAGCCAATGCTTTTTACAAGGGTGCAGTAAATTCTCTCTTCTCCAGTATCCAACACAACAGTTGCAACAGGGTATCTTAGACTCACTTGGAAACACAATTCACCAAACACTTAACAAGCCCCGACTTTGTTAGAAGATGGGAATGGCCTCAAAGATTTCACCGGTAGGAAGTCAGATGAGATGACGCTCATTAACGGGTGAAAGGAAAGCCTAGAGAGAAGAAAGTTACGGAAGAAAGCGCATAGCTTCCTTACTTCTACTAAGTTGCACTTGAACAAGCCCCAGCCCCCAAGGCCCCTTCCTTCCCAGTGGCTGTCCTGGACACTCCACTTTTTTTTACCTTCATGTGAGGCACTGGATTGCCTTACTTTTACTTTTGGGGCCTCAAAGTTCTATTCACCAAGCATCTCCAACTATAACTCGTTAGGCTAGATGTAATCAATTCCTTCCTCTGTTCCCATCATCTCTAATGCTTCTTTCAGCTGCTCTATTGCCTGGCATTGCTCACGAATGACAACGCCTCACTGGGACCAGGCGAGATCATTTTGGTTTCAATTGCTGGACCACAGCCATGACTACCACCAACAATGTCAAACACTTAACAACCTCTGACACCCTTTAGCACTGTGGCTCAGGCTCTCAGATTTAAAGAGCGAGAGATGCAGACATTCAGGGGACCCCCAATCACCTGTCTTTCACAGGTACCATCTCAACACAGGTTATGTCCCTATACCTCCCCAAATCCACCTCCTCTCAAAGTCTAAACTTCCAGCAGTGGGGAAATGCCGTCTCTCCTAAATTCGTGGTTCCATCCTCCCAATGTATAAGCAAACTGTCTGAGGTCAGAGTTCTAAGTGAAAACAGTAGCCCAAGAATTCGGGGTTACTTATGTACACAAACAAACAAAAACGCAAAATAAATGTAACAGCAGGCAAGTATGAGGAACAGTGTACAACGGGTATATTCCAGTGGTAAGAAAACCTAGTCATACATATGTCATTTATTTTTGTATCTAAAATACACTTTTCCATACAGTAATTTATTTGAACTCAAAGACTCTGGGATGTACAGAAATAGGTGAGATATTATTATCATTTTCAACATGAGAAAACAGAATCTTAGAAAGGTCAAATAGCTTTCTCAAAAGCCTCTCAAATAGTACAATGGAACCCCAGTGTAAAACCAGATCTTCCGTCCAAATCCAGTTTGTCTTCTACTACATTATCTACTGGTGGGATTAACCTAACGTTCAGCTCATTGTGGGGCAGCCTTAAGTAAAAAAACATTATAAATCTCCCTCTTGGTCAGGCGCAGTGGCTCACGCTTAGAATCCCAGAACTTTAGGAGGCTGAGACGGGCAGACCACTTGAGGCCAGGAGTTCGAGACCAGCCTGGTCAACATGGTGAAACCCCATCGCTACTAAAAATACAAAAACTTAGCTGGGCGTGGTGTCAGGTGCCTATGACCCCAGCTACTCAGGAAGCTGAGGCAGGAGAATTGCTTGAACCCAGAAGGCGGAGATTGCAGTAAGCTGAGATTGCGTCATTGCACTCTAGTCTAGACAACAAGAGCAAAACTGAGTCTCAAACCAACAAACAAAACACCTGCGTCTTTTTCAGTATCAGAGCGTACTATGTGAGTTAAGCCTTCCTTAACTTACCAAACTGAATGACTTCTTTAGATCTTGTTACTTCTCCCACTGGGAAGCGGAGTCATTTCCTTCCCTTGGAATCTTAGCAGGTTTTGGTGACTTGCCTCACCAATATAACATTGCAGTAGTGACATTCTGTGATTTATGAGGCTAGGTCCTAAGAAGCCTGTCAGCTTCTGTCCAGACCTCCTAAGAACTCACTCTTAGAAGCCTGCTGCTATGCTATGATGAAGCCCAGGCCGCCCACAGAAAGAGCCATGAGGAGAGGAAACGAGGCCCCAGGAGACAGCCCTGGCTGAGCTCCAGGCCAAAAGCCATGTGGGGAACCATCTTAGAAGTGGATCACCCAGTCAGTATCAGGACACATGAGCTGTGTCCACCCAGCCTGCCTGACTTGCAGATCCATAGACCAAATAAACGACTGCTATTATTTCAAGCCATCAGGTTTTAAGATGGTTGGTCCCACAGCAAATAACTGCAGTCTACCTTTCCAAAACCTTCGTGGCTGAATACAATACCCAAACAAAAGTAGCGACATATATCAAACTGGCTATTCATTATGAATATTGCATGTTTATTTCACTTACATAGTGTAGTTTATATTTTTAAAAGTAAATGAAGAGTTCCCTCTAATTTAAAAAGCAAAAAAAAAAAAAAAAGGCAATTAGACAAATTGCTTTAAAATGCCTTCAACCCTAGATAATAAAAATCTTATTATAAATATATTAGCATTTGGTTCGAAACTCTGTGAAAAGAATTAGGCCCTCCAGCTTCTACAGTTCTGTGAAGGCCTTCTAAATATAGGAAAGTAAAACTGAAATTTGTGTCAGTTTGTTAATGGCATCACTTAAAACTATAACAGTTAATTAACTAATTAACAACTTAATTAACTCAGCAGTTAATTTACTTACTTGAGTTCACTTAAATTTCCTAGATGTGATTTAACAAACTTTCAGTGTAATTTCTGACTAAATATGTAAATTGTATGATATATATCTCTTCGATTTTGAATTTTTTTAAAAAATAATATCGTTTAAGGAGGAACAATAAGCCTAGCAGTGAGTTTTCATTTTTTTCTTCAATAGGGAAACTCTCTGAACTTCTGGCATGTAGCAAGTTTCCCATCAACCTTGCAAGGGTATTTTTTGTATTTGTTTTTGAGATAGGACTCACTGTGTCATCTAGACTGGAATGCAAGGGTGTGATCTAGACTCGCTGCAACTTCTGCCTCCCGGGCTCAGGTGATCTTCCTACCTCAGCCTCCTGAGTAGCTGGGGCTACAGGTGTGTGCCACCACACCCAGGTAATTTTTGTATTTTTAGTAGAGATGGGGTTTCTTGTTGGCCAGGGTAGTGTCGAACTCCTGAGCTCAAGTGATCTGTCCACCCTGGCCCCCAGAGTGCTGGGGTTATAGACATGAGCTGCACCCCCCAGCCCCACTCAGCCTTTTTACTTTCAAAAAGAAAATCATATTTGGATTTTTCAGTTTGTTTAAATGAATCCAAATAAGATTCGCAAATCAGCAAACTAATGTGAGCAAATTTCATGATAGTGTATTAATAATTGATTGTCCTATATTCTTAAAAAAATGGATGCTGAAACAAACAATAATTGAAAAAAATACTGTTATAAAACATTTCTCTGGCCCATGGATTTACTTCTTTAACGAACATGTTTATATAGCAGCAGGTAATGTCAGGTTACTCAGTATGTGGCCCATCAACCTGTGCTCATCCATGAGCTGTTTTTACCAGTAGGAAATGAGAAGAGTACAGGAACTAAGTGTTTAGACATATTTGCAGGACTTTGAGAGAATAAATGTATGTCTATTGACTATCATAAAGAGAGATTTGGAGGCCAAGCACAGCGGTTCATGCCTATAATCCCAGCACTTTGGGAGGCGGAGGCGGGCGGATCACCTGAGGTCAGGAGTTCAAGACTAGCCTGGCCGACATGGAGAAACCCATCTCTACTAAAAATTCAAAAATTAGTTGGGTGTAGTGGTGCACACCTGTAATCCCAGCTACTGGGGAGACTGAGGCAGAAAAATCACTTGAACCTGGGAGGCGGAGGTTGCAGTGAGCCAAGGTCATGCCATTGCATTCCAGTGTGGGCAAGAAGAGCAAAATTCCATCTCAAAAAAGAAAAAGAAAAAAAAAAGAGAGACATTTGGGCTTGTATTTTAGCTTGTATTTTTATTTCATTTTTCTAATCACTCGTTTTTATTTATTTATTTTTGAGACAGAGACTTGCTCTGTCACCCAGGCTGGAGTGCAGTGGTGTGATCTTGGCTCACTGCAACCTCCACCTCCCAGGTTCAAGCGATTGTCCTGCCTAAGCCTCCCAAGTACTTGGGACGACACGTGTGGCCCCCCCCACCCCGCCTATTTTTTTTTTTTTTTTTTTTGTATTTTAGTGGAGATGTGCTTTCACCATGTTGGCCAGGATGGTCTCGATTTCCTGACCTCATGATCTGCCCGCCTCAGCCTCCCAAAGTGCTGGGATTACAGGTGTGAGCCACCGCGCCTGGCCTTTTATTGTGTTTTACAAACATTCTCATCTGCAACAGATTGCTTTTTTTAAAAAAGCTGGTTCTTTTTCAAAAATAGTTTGGGAAGCACTGATTTTACTGCGGCAAACAAACATTGGATAAAAAATGATCCCTGCTAGCTTTGTGCAGTGGCAGTATTGTAGCCAATGAGGTTTATCCGAGGCATGATTATTGCTAATTGAAAACTTCCCAATACCACGCCATGACGACTTGAAATACAGTCAGCATTGGCAATTTTTGGCAGTCTCTATGGGGACTGAACTATCTCATTTTTTAAAAATCCCTGCTTTCATAAAACTTGCATATTAATAAGAAGGGCAGGTTGTGATTGTTGCATAACTGAAGTGTAAACAACATGTTCTAGACACTTAGAGGAGAAAGATGATTCCACAAGGGGAGATAACAGAAGGCTTTGCGGAGGAAGCGATTGTTGAATGAGTTCTTATTTGATGAACGGGTAGAGTTTGGGGAGGTAAAAATAGAAGAGGATACACATTTCAGACAGAGTGAACAATGGGAGGGAAGTCAGGGGAAGAAAATGCAGCTATGTATTGGGAAGAGCATGCAACCGACCTCATTTGGTAAGAGCAGAGGGAATGTGATAAATCTAGAAGGGTAGACCCAATTGTAGAAGGCCTTTTGAATGTGAAGCTAAGAGGCTTGCACTTGCCTGAGGTCATCTCCACACTGCCGCTGAAAATTTCTGAGCAGAGAAATGGTGTTCATAAAGTTGTGGTTATGATAGATGAATTTGAGGGGAGAAAAACTGGAGAACTAGATGAGGAAGAATACCCCAGATTCTTCAGGTACAACGAGATCGATTCAAGTCATCTTAAGAGCCTGCCAATTGAGATTTTAAAAGGTATACTTTTAACTCTTCCAAAGTAGTGATCAGTAAGTGAAAATACAGCAGCGGTCTACCCCAGAAAGCTCCTGAGTAAGTGACGAGTTTCTTTTCATGTATGTATATAAATGCATAGATACATATATACATTTATAATGCATTAGCTGTGTGCATTTTAGGTCCAGTATCTCATGTAATCATCAAAACCACTCTATTTCAGGTTCTATTAATCCCCATTTTACATATGAGAAATTTGAGGCTATAAAAGTTAGGTCCCATACTCAAGGTCACCCACTAAATAATAACCTAGAGCCAGGCACGGTGGCTCATGCCTGTAATCCCAGCACTTTGGGAGGCCAAGGTGGTTGGATCACCTGAGGTCAGGAGTTCAAGACCAGCCTGACCAACATGGTGAAACCCTGTCTCTACTAAAAATACAAAAAATTAGCCAGGCCTGGTGGCGGGCATCTATAATCCCAGCTACTCAGGACACTGGGGCAGGAGAATCTCTTGAACCTGAGAGGCAGAAGTTACAGTGAGCCAAGATTGTGCCATTGCACTCCAGCCTGGGCAACAAGAGCTACACTCTATCTCAACAACAACAACAAAGCACCTAAACTTAACCAAGTCTGTCTGATGTCAAAGTCCATTTTGGCATTATTGGATGCCAACCAAAATGTAAACACTCAAACATGTTAGGCTTTCCCTGTATAAAGGAAGATTTAGGAGAAGACAATTAAAATCCATACCAGCTGCTGGGCATGGTGGCTCATGCCTGTAATCCTAGCACTTAGGCTAAGGGGTGGGGGGCAGATCAGCTGAGGTCAGGAGTTCGAGACCAGCCTGGCCAACATGGTGAAACCCCATCGCTACTAAAAATACAAAAATTAGCCAGGCATGGTGGCAGGTGCTTGTAATCCCAGCTACTCAGGAGGCTGAGGCAGGAGAATCACTTCAACCCAGGAGGCAGAGGTTGCAGTAAGCCAAGATCGCCACATTCCACTCCAGCCTGGCGAACAAAAGCGAGACTGAGTCTTAAAAAGGGGGGAAAAATCCATACCAGCTATCATCTACTTGAACATTATGAAGCCTATTCTTTGGGAATGTCTGGGATTTTATCTGTGTTTCCATCTGAAAGGTAAGGCTACAATGAACAACAAGAAGTTGATTTTTCTTTAGTAAGAGCTGAGAATATTTTTATATCTATAAACTCTTAAATATTCTTGCTTTGCAAAAGGACCAGCACAAGTTGTATTAAAAAAAAAAAAATCTTGGCTGAGTGCAATGGTTTGCGCCTGTAATCCCAACAATTTGGGAGGCCAAGGTGGGTGGATCACAAGGTCAGGGGTTCAAGATCAGCCTAGCCAACATGGTGAAACTCCGTCTCTACTAAAAATACAAAAAATTAGCCCGGCATGGTGGTGATCGCCTATAATTCCAGCTACTTGGGAAGCTGAGGCGGGAGAATCTCTTGAACCCGGGAGGTGGAGTTTGCAGTGAGCCAAGATCACACCACTGCATTCCAGCCCGGGCGACAAAGCAAGATTCTGTCTCAAAAACAAACAAACAAACAAACAAACTTATCACTATAACAAAGCAAATACATGACTGCCTACCCAGAATGAGTTACAATGGCAACTCTGCATTTGAATAAATGCTGGCAATAAAAGGTGAAAAACAAATACCATACAGTTTATTTGCCTAGTTGGAAAGGAGACGCTAATGGAACAGAAACTACAATATGGCACTGATCATCAGCACCATTATTCTCTAAAAATGTGAGCAATTTCAAAGATACTATTTTTGTCTTGAAAATATTCTAATTGTCTTTCATACTATAAATACAATTATATATCTGTTGTTTGAGAATTTTGAAAAAGAAACTTTAATTAAAACGATATACATGATTGAAATAGAAATTGTAACAGAGGTACTTCTCTTTGAACACCTAACTTGGGAACTTGCTGACAGATGTATCCTCCAATGCTAGCTGCTGAGAAGCTCCAAGGAAGCGCAGCATTTATTCCCTCATGACTGTTTCCTAAGCCTAAATAGAAATATCTAATTATGTTGCAGTGTCCTTCATCTACTCTCCTTGCCAATCTCTTTGACATACAATCCCAGCCTCAATGTTCTAACTAGTGTTCAGATTCCCAGGCTAGCTCACAAGAGTAGCCAGATTCAAATTGTAGTAGAAATAATACACAAGAAAAAACAGTATAGGAAAAAAGATAGGAGACAGGACAATGTATGTTCTGGTTATATACTACTGTGTAATAAATCATACCTAAACATAATGCCTGAACAGCAATGGTCTGTTAGCCCATGCGTTTCTACAGATTGACTGAGCTCAGCAGGGGGGTTATTGATTAGGGTCTCTCATGCAGTTACAGTCAGGTGGGACTGGGGCTGAAATTATCTGAACTTTAACTGGACTAGACATCCAGGACAGTTCCTTCACTCACCATATGTGACCTCTCACTTGGGATAGTTGGCAGAGCTAATGGCTGATAAGGCATCTGTCTCTTCAAGCTCTCTCTCTCTCCAAGAGTGCTCTCTCTCTCTCTCTCTCTCTCTCTGCTTGGCTAAATTGGATTTCCTCACAGTGTGAGTAGTTGGACTTCTTACCTGTTGGCTGCCACCCCCCTGCCCCCCCCACACACCCCAGAGTGAGTGTTTTAAAAGGGCAAAGCAGAAGCTGCAAGGGTCCTTCTGATCTGGCTCGAAGTCACAATGCATCTCTTCTGCCACGTGCTATTTGTTCCCATGGGACCGGGTCAGATTTAATATGAGAAGCAACTGCACAAGGGCATGAATTCCAGAAGGCGCGGTCCAATATGGGGTGGCAGGGAGTATCTTTGGAGACTAGCAACAGAAGGGGGTAGGAAAAGTAAAAGGACCTTTTAGGGTTGTGATAGATCTCAAGGAGAAATTCAAATTTTTAGATACATTGCTGGTTTAATAGGACTTAAAGTGGCATAGTATCAACTAGCCAGGATCCTATCTACCAGTTATATAATTATTCCTATGGGAAATTTCACTTGAGCAAAATACACAGTGGTTTTAAAACAAAATATTTTTAACACAACCAATTTATGAGTGTGGGGCTGAGAGTCCGCTTATTTTAAACTTGCTATCCACCAAACTAGGCATCTCTTGAAAGTAAAACCTTTCTGTTTCTCCAACACACAGTTGTCTGTCATTCTGATTTATTTTACTTCAGAATTATGAATGATCACTAAGAATATAAAATACCTAGAAGAATATAAAAACAAAACTTTCTGAATCATATGATTCTATAGAACTGGAATCTCCCTCTTATATCGTTGAAAGGCTTAACAACAGAAAATTCGGTATTTCTGTTGTCAATAATTATCAACAATACACACGTGGGGCTGGCATTAAATAATGACCACAGGTGCCTTTCAAGGAAGTTATTGTTTCTTTTGGCAAAGCACCTCTATGTTTGTAAGTGCAATGTTCATAACTTCCAAGAGGAAATTTGGGGTGTATTTCAAGTACCGTTTGA